GGTTTAGGGTTTTGGGGTTTAGGGTTTAGGGTTTTGAGGTTTAGGGATGTAGGGTTTAGGGTTTAGGGTTTCGGGTTTCGGGTCACCCAAAGCACCTTCGAAGGGCCAATGAACCCTGAAATTTAGGGTCGTATACCCTAAGCCACCGGAGCCCCTCACAAGCTGCGTTTAGAGCACAATGCGTCAAGGGTTCATGTGGTCCCCAAGCACCCCACACACCCTACACCCAAAACCCTGAACCCGAAACCCGAAACCCGAACCCGAAACCCTAAATCGAAGCACCCAAAAACATCCTGAACACCCTCACCGCCGCGAGAGCCCCGCGAGCCTGGGCCCTGAGGCCAAGAAAGCCCATGAGGGGCCAGAATTTTCACCTGGACCCCCAAGGAGGAGGATTTTAGGGGGCGTTCGGGAGGTCGGGGGGAACTCAGGGAGGTTAGTCCTCCCATCTTCCTTTTTGGGGGCCTGGGTCGATCCCAGCATCTGCTGCTGCGGCCGCTTCGGAGAGCAAAGGGCTTCCGCCTTGTCGGGTTTAGGGTTTAGGGTTTAGGGTTTAGGGTTTAGGGTTTAGGGTTTAGGGTTTAGGGCTTTAGGGCTTTAGGGCTTTAGGGCTTTAGGGTTTAGGGCTGAGGGTTTAGGGCTTTAGGGCTTTAGGGCTTGAGGGCTTGAGGGCTTGAGGGTTTGGGGTCTGGGGCGCAGAAACCGGGTTGCAGACTTAGAGTCGATTAGGGGGGTAGGGTATGTTAGGGCATGTTAGGTTATTATTTTGCTTATTACTGGGAGTTTGGGCGTACTCGGGTATTAGGGTATACTAGGATACATCGGGGTAAACTTGAGGTTTGGGGCCTTCCGGGGCTCGAGGATGGATGCAGGGGTTCAGGATTGGCTTAGGGCTTGGGTGGCTTCAAGGAGAAAGCTTGAACCCAGATTTGGGGGTTTCCGAATTTAGGGGGTACCTTCTTAGGGGGTCCTACTTAGAAGGGAATCCTACTGCTTGGGGGTCTACTTTAAGGGTCTCCCTATGTTCTGAAGCCCCCACTTGACGAGGGAGCCCCCGATACTTTTGAAAAGCTCCGCACCGCGGCGGGCAAGAAAAGACTCGACCTGCGCAAGAGGCCGTTCTCCAGCCAACACAACGTCCGCGCTTGCTTTTGCTTCTGTTTTTTTTTGAGAGGGCAGGGAAACTCAGGGAAGCTTATTGGGCTTTGGGTTCAAGTTATAACTCCTAAACCCTAAACCCTCAAGCCTCAACCCTCAAGCCTAAACCCTAAACCCTAAACCCTAAACCCTAAACCCTAAACCCTAAACCCTAAACCCTAAACCCTAAACCCTAAACCCTAAACCCTAAACCCTAAACCCTAAACCCTAAACCCTAAACCCTAAACCCTAAACCCAAGCCGTAAGCCCTAAGCCGGCCTTTCGCCGAGCGCTGGCAGGCAGCGAAGGCACAGAAGGCCAAGGAAGCCTGGCCCCCAACGTTCGGGGTTTAGGGTTTAGGGTTTAGGGTTTAGGGTTTAGGGTTTAGCGTTTTTTCAGTTTGCTTGTTTGGGCTCGGGGTTTAGGGTTTGGGGTTTATAAGGTTTGCTCGGAGGAACGGAGTGACATAGTACGTAGGCACAACTTCGAGTTCTAAGTACCCCCCAAAACAGGGTCCTGACGGGGGGGGGGGGGGGGTCAGGTCGAGACTCCAGGGCTTTCGGGTTTCAGGCTTTGCGCCTTTTAGGGCTTCAATATGGCTCAGGGCTCAGGGCCTTAGACTGTTCAGGGTTGGGATGTTCCCCCTTGTACTAACAGTCCTTCATAGTAGGGTATAATCCCTATGAAGGACGGTTAGTATAAGGGGGAACATCCCTAAACCCTAAACCCTAAGCCCTAAGCCCTAAGCCCTAGACCCTAAACCCTAAACCGCAGAACCTCGGCCAGCCCGTGACGCGCTGCCCAAGGGTCGGGGTCTCCTCTGGGGCACTTGGACAAGGGTACGAGCCCTCTAAAACCTGAAGTCCCCCAAGAACGTTCGAAAATAGGGGACCCCTAACAAAGTCCCCCAAATAGTAGGATTGCCTTATATTATGGACCTTAATAAGGTACCCCCAATTCCCTAAACCCCCTAAAGCACACGAGGACCATTGGGCAAGGCAAGGGCACCTGCATCTCCCCAGGGGCCTTTATCAGACGCGCCCCGGGACCGAATCCCTCCACACGGAGCCTTCACAGACTCAACGCGCATGAGCCCTGACGCGCAGGCACGAAGCATAGACTCTCCCATTACCGCCCCCTAAACCCTAAGCCTAAACCCTAAACTCTAAACCCTAAACCCTAAACCCTAAACCCTAAACCCTAAACCCTAAACCTTAAACAAAAAAAGGGGGTCCACCGCCAACTTGGGATCACATGCCCAGCTTGCTCTTTGTCCCAGGCGGCCGCCGTGGAAGCGCTGCCCGAAGCTTCCGAGGCCTGTCATTGCCGGGCACTTGCAGAGTGTGTCCCTAAACAACCCTAAACCCTAAGCCCTAAACCCCACACCCTAAACCCTTGTAAACCCCAAACCCCAAACCCCAAACCCCAAACCCCAAACCCCAAACCCTAAACCCTAAACCCTGAACCCTGAACCCTGAACCCTGAACCCTAATGCTGCTGCTCTCCACGCCGGTGGCCTTCTAGAACAACTAGCTCTGTCCCAACTTCCGTGTTACGGTCCGTTCCTGACATGGGTTGAGAACTAGCATGCGTCCGATAACAACCGTTGGAAGCTGGTATGGGGTTTAGGGTTTAGGGTTTAGGGTTTAGGGTTTCGGGTTTAGGGTTTAGGGTTTAGGGGCTTGTTTGCGGGGCGCGCGTGTAAAATTTAAAACCATGGCATGGTGCCGGGCTGCGTCGATTGCAGGCGGCCTTGGGTTTCGACCCAAGGGCATTTCAGACGCTTCTTGGGGTTTAGGGTTTAGGGTTCAGGGTTTAGGGTTCAGGGTTTAGGGGGGTTTATCCCTTCAACCCCAAAGCCCCAACCCGAAACCCTAAGCCCGAAACCTGGCTGTTGCGGCTGTGGCGTCTCATGCGGTGTATCAGGCTTGTGCGGCTGCGGGTTGGCTCTGCGGCCTCCACCCCCCCCCCCCCCCACCGCACACCCAAAAACCCTAAACCCAAACCCTAACCCTAAACCCTAAACCCTAAACCCTAAACCCTAAACTAAACCCTAAACCCTAGACCCTAGACCCTAGACCCTATAGACCCTAGACCCTAGACCCTAGACCCTAGACCCTAAACCCTAAACCCTAAACCCTAAACCCTAAACCCTAAACCCTAAACCCTAAACCCTAAACCCTAAACCCTAAACCCTACATCCAGACACTGCCCGGGAGGTCGCCTCCGCCACAGCTGCTCCACCGGCCAAGGCAGCTGAGGCTTCACCGGGTCCTTGTCATGGAACTGCAATTTAGGTTTTAGGGTTTTAGGGTTTTTGGGTTTTTGGGTTTAGGGTTTTAGGGTTCTAGGGTTTTAGGGTTTTAGGGTTTTAGGGTTTTAGGGTTTTAGGGTTTTAGGGTTTTGGGGTTTTAGGGTTTTAGGGTTTTAGGGTTTTAGGGTTTCAGGGTTTCAGGGTTTCAGGGTTTATAGGGTTTAGGGTTTTGGGCTTTTAGGGTTTTTAGGGTTTATAGGGTTGAAAGGGTTTAGGGTTTACAGGGTTTAGGGTTTTAGGGTTTTGGGGTTTTAGGGTTTTAGGGTTTTAGGGTTTTAGGGTTTTAGGGTTTCAGGGTTTCAGGGTTTCAGGGTTTATAGGGTTTAGGGTTTTGGGCTTTTAGGGTTTTTAGGGTTTATAGGGTTGAAAGGGTTTAGGGTTTACAGGGTTTAGGGTTTTTGGGCTTTTAGGGTTTCTAGGGTTTATAGGGTTTAGAGGGCTTAGAGGATTTAGAGGGTTTAGAGGGTTTAGAGGGTTTATAGGGTTTAAAAGGGTTTTTGGGGGTGTTTAGGGCGTTTAGGGTTTTTTAGATTTAGAGCTTAGGGTCTTGGTTTCCGCCAGAACTAAAACCCATCATGGGTCTTAGTTAGTATAGAGCCCCATTATGTGAACTCAGTAGTTTTACTGAGCAAACGAAAGTTTGGCGGGCTTGAGGAGTTTGAGGGGTTCAGGGTTTGGGGGTTTGTTTGGTGGGTGCCGCGACCTGAAAGTTCAGGTTTTGGGGCTCAGGGTTCAAAGCTTCTCACGCAATCCTGTTGAGAGTGGGGGTTAGTTGAGTTGCGACGTGCCCTTAAACCCTGAAGCGTGAACGAACGTTCACTTGAAACCTCAGTGTTTTCAAGCTTGATTTTCCGGTCCCCAATCCTTTAACCTCGCCCGTTTCGTTGAACTGAAGCAAGTCTAGGTGGGTAGCATTAGAAGGGCCACGTTTCGTTATAATTGGTTAAGAAGTACCATGAACCTCCTAAACCCTAAACCCTAAACCCTAAACCCCAAACCCTAAACCCTGAAACCTTTAAATCCCCATACCCTGAAGCTCATGGCACCCACAGTGGAGGCTGCGATGTCTTCGCGCGGCGCCACGCCGCGCTCCAGCCAGCTGCCATCGACGATGCAGCCTCCGCGATGCTTGGGGGGTTCTCCCCTAAACCCTAAACCCTAAACCCTAAACCCTTGTGAGATTTTCCTGTACACAAGCGCCGAGTTGGATTTCGTATAGTGCAGAAGCTGTTAGGCGAACACTTGTATAGGCATGAACAAACATGCAAGCGTCAAATAGCATTCATGAGACAAGTTCCTGCATGACAGGCGCCTTGGGCTCAATCGGAAAAAGCAAGCTACGTAGTCTAGTCACTGTGACTCCGGCCCCAGTACCCCGCTTCTGAAACTGGTAGCGGAGCTGTGGAGCTCAGTGACACGTTTTTCATTCCTCGCAGCAATCTCGTCCGGAAGAGAAAGCTAAGGGGGATTTGGGTGTGAGCCAAGAAGCCGAAAGAACGTCAGCATTGCCAGTCTACAATAGACCACTGCACTGCGCAAATCCGACACCATGTCGGTAGCTGGGTTAAAGTACGACCCTGTACTTAGCCTTGACACCCCAGCAGAAACCAAGTCAGGAAGCTACATTTACAGCGGCTCCGCAGCGTCCTTCCACGACTGGGAGTTTCGCACACGTGCCCGTGTCTCCCAGCATCGTGAGAGGCAGCGTCGAGAGGTCTTGAAAGACCTTCGTTCTAGCCACCAACTCAGCCGTTCTGCATCCCCACGAAAGTGGGTAGGTGGCGGCATAAGATCCCCGGACCGTCACACAGGTGATGAGAGCAGTGGAATGGCAGCCAGTCCTTCAAGTGCCCCAGGACGCCGGCGCGGCCGCCAGGCCGGTGCGGAGTCCATGTCGTCAGGAGACGGTGGCGAAGAAGAGCAACAGCCACAAGATTATGAGGTTGAGGACGACGGACAAGCTTCGGTAGAGACTGAGCCTGTTCCCACACTCGCTTCGGTCCGCGATAGTGATCTTGACATGTCTGATGCAGTTCAGAAGACGCTGGAAGGCCTCCGTGGCGACGCCTTTCTTATCGCCCGAGACATAGGTCTCGAGAGGTTGTTGAAGCACGACGGCATTGATCTCCTCATTCAGAAGGTCAAAGACCAAGCATTTCCCTTGCAGGGGGAAGAGGCATCGGAATTGTTCAGGCAAGGCCAGTTGCTGACGGGTCCCTTGTCTAAACAATCAGGGGAGCCGATGTTGTCTTACATTTCCCGGCGAAGGCGCTGGTGGGTTACCCTAAGGGAATTGGACCCAGAAGTCAGGTTGTCAGAAGCCATGCGTGCCAATCTCCTCGTGGAACTGTCTGGTTTGTCGCGCCAAGAGCAGCTCATGGTGCGCGCCGCAGCACAGGCCGAGACAGTAGATGCGTATGCGCGCGTATTGATCAAGCATCATAGTGTTGTGCATATGCGTGAACGCTTGCTCGTTGAGAAAGACAAGCCTGTCGCTAGAACATGGTCCAAGCCCCGGTGGGAGAATACCTCATTTCAGCAGAAGCCTCGGTACGGTTACATGACACAAGGTTTCATGGAGGATGACGAGTATGAGTACCAGGGGCTAGGAAGTCAGGCCTATGTAGCCGAGGAGCATGAGGTCGAGGAAGACGAAGGCGAATGGGTTGATGACAGCGCATTAGCCTTGGCTCTCAATGCATATACAGCTATGCAGACAGAGCTTGGAGGCGAACCAGGCGAGGAGCACGCCGAAGCATTGCAGCTGGCATACGCAGCCCAAACCACACTTGCCAATGTGAAGGGTAACAAAGGTAAGGGTTTTGGTAAGTCTGGCGGTAAGAAGGGTGGTAAGGTCCCTCCTTCCAATCTTTCTATCGCCGACAGGAAAGCCAAACTTGCCGAGCTGAAGGCTCGCAGCCGATGCTTGCGATGCGGCGCAATCGGTCATTGGGCCGGTGACGCTGAGTGCAGGTTTAAGGGTAGTCCCGGAGGTCCTAAGGGTTCCAGTAAGGGTGGTCCAGGTGCAGAGAAGTCCGCCTCACCCGGGAAGCCCGGGATGGCATCCTCCTCACAAGCCTACCTTGCCGCACTGAGTGACGCATCGGACGATGAGACCCCTGCCATTCACCTTTCCAACACTTCAAGAGACATGGAGGGCTATCCCGCTGAAAGGAGCGGAGGACCCTCAGAGCGTCCTCGTGTTCGCAGATCGGAAGCCACTGCCATGCGTGACAGCCCACCGCCAGGATCTGACACCTTGTTCACTTTCGGTCATCACAAAGGCCTGACGTATGAACGAGTGCTACACACCTATCCTGGGTATGTCCTTTGGGGTCAAACACAGAAGTGTCCTTCCAAGTGTTTGGGTGATTTCCTGAACTGGGTGCATGAGCATTGTGTGGTAGAAGACACGGACCCCATAGAAGTGCGTAGAAGAGACATTCCTCTTAGTACGATGATGCCCCCAACTTCCGTTGCTGACCGCGCAGCCAACGCTGAAGGCACCGCCTCATCCAGTACCGGTTTCCGGCCCAAGTGCAGGGGTGGTTGTAAGACCTTTAGCAAGACAGGGAGCAATTCGTACATAGACATGCGCACATGCAAGTCCTGTGGTACGGTAACCAAGACTCGCAAAGAACAGGTTCAGGTCGACCCTACCACATGCACGCATGCCCAGGTAGATCGTTCAGGTTCCAGCAAGACAACCAGCCGAATCAAGTGCAAGCTTTGCGGCATGATCCTAGATGAACTGCCCCAAGAAGAGAAGAAAGCTAGGGACGCAGCCGCAGCACAGCTGCGAGACACGAACACCCTAGACTTCGACATGATGCGCTCTATAGTGGGCAGAACAGGGGATCGAGTGCCTGTAGAAGTGGTCGTACCAGCCCTTGAACAGTTCAAGGAGGCAGTTGAGGGTCACTTCGTCACCGAACCTTCGATAACGAGGGGAGACTTGTTTGCCTACCTTCAAGAGGCTCTGGACGATCATGCGGATGATGCGAGCCCCACGAGCGCGAGTTGGGAGATGGCTTCATCGGGAAGAAGGCCCGGTACAGCAATGGTTGCCATGCTTGCCGAACCACACGAGGGAGTCACAGACACGAACCCCAGTTTGAGCAAACTCCCCGTGGTTAACATTCGCACATCCCCACATGTTTTCGCAGTTCTGGATGAAGGGTGTAACTCAACGGTTCATGGCGAGGATTGGGGTCACGAGAGCATGTCCAAGTATGCGAGCTTTGGGTATTCCACGAGGTTTGCGAAGGAGACTTCCAAGACCTTCAAGGGTTTGAGTGGTTCCACTTCCACGCTTGGGACCCGAACCTTTCCTTTCTGCCTTTTGCCCTTGGATTCAGTTGAGGGCGAGGAGGTTTCCCATAGGGAAAGATTGTGTGGGGCGCTAGATTCCCATGAGATCCCTGGTGGGGCACCCCTCCTACTATCGCTTCATGCCCAGAGTCAACTTGGGATGGCAAAAGACCTACACTTAGGGACGTGCTCCGTAAGGCTCCCGTCGAACCCCGACAAGACCATTGAACTCAAGTTGCATCGGACATCAGACTCAGGTTTGCTTTGCATTTGCCTAACCGATGGTCTCTTGCAAGGGAAACAACCCCGCCTTGTTCGAGGATTTGCGATCCCACCGCCACCTGCAGGTGCTGCCCGAGCAATAGCAGCAGAGGGTTCGGATAAGTGCGCAAACAGCAAGGTCACCAAACGAAAGGCCTCTTCAATGCAGACGCACTCTGTAAGTGAACCCCAAGGTGAGAACACAAATTTGACAGCAGCCATGGCCATCGCACCTTCACAGCGCCCCGCGCCTAAGGCGAGGCCTCAGCAGCTGAACTCAGAAACCTTCCCCACCGAGGGAGGAGACAATCCCAAGCACGCCGCGGACATTTTTACCTTCGGCTACAACTTCGAGGAGGCCGTCGATAAGATCCGCAACGCTTGGGAGCCACAGCATTTCGCTGACATGTTCAGTGAGATGCGCTCGGCAGAGGCTACCCTTGAACTCGGAGGCGCATTCGTCGGCATCTTCTTTGACCTGACATACTTGCCGAATGCCAGGAGTTTGGGTCCTGAGCTCGCAGATCGCAAGCGAGATACAAGCCTCCGAGATCATGTGGGTTCCCACCCTTCTATAATGAAGGCGATAGCTGCAGACCCTGGATTCCTGCAACACTGCAGAGCCATTCGTTCCAAGGTGAAGAAGTCAATGGAGCAGGGCTACCAGGCGATGAACATTAGCGTTGTCTGCAAACAAAACCGGCACCGTTCCGTGGCAGGAGGCATCCTCATTGAGCACATGCTACTTCGCGTTGAAGGACTTCATGTTTCCATGCAGCATTGCAACAGCGAACAGTCCTGGCCGCTCATGGGTGGATCTTGCCGCGGGCATTGCAGCTGGTGCACACATCGCACAGACGATGCGAAGGCGGCCTACGAACAGGTGTTAGCCGACTTCATCAAGTATCTGGAAGGCGATGTCAAGGAGAACACCACATGCATTTTGCACTGCGAGTCAGAGCCTGAAAGAGCCCCGGGCACAGCTCCGGAGGAAGTTACTGATCTGGACGCAGACGATGAGGTGGAAGAGGTCCCATCAGATCCGCTGGAAGTAGCGCCTGGAGAGGGAGAGTCAGCATCGCAGGCCGCTACTCGATTGGGGCTTCGTGGCAAGCAGCACACCTCCTACGTGGCGAAGTGGGACCCAAGCTCCCTGACAGGGAGGCTTCATCAGCAAGCGGGCTCAGGTGTGTTCACTGCCACCTCAAGTCATCTGCCAGTTCAGGCCCAGGTACAAACCCTGGAGAGAAAGTTAGCGCTGCGCGACAAGGAAGTCGAGTCACTTCGAAGCAAGCTCCGGGACGCCGAGCGGGACAAGCAGGAGGCGGAACGGAGAGCGGAGCGTGCAGAACAGCTCCTGCAAGATGCCCTTGCCCAGTTTGGTGGTCGTTCCCGCTCCCGACATCGACACCATGACCGAAGGGCAAGGAGCAGTTCAAGTGACTCCCGGAGAAAGGTCCGGAGGGAGAGATCAAGCCACCACGATGATCACAGAGCGCAGTCTTCCCGCCGAGAGTCGTCTTCTTATCGTGATCGTGACCGTGATCAGTGGCACCCCAGCAGCAGCTACCGCGACACCGCTCGCGAGACCTCCTCATACGACCAGAACCAGTGGGATGCTTGGGATGATGAGTGGTCCCGAGCTGGCGATTGGGATCATCAGGCTCCGCCCGAGCCACCCAAGCCACCTGTGAGAAGATGGACCCCACATTTGGAGGCGCGTGCCAACAGGGCCGCCGACGAGGAGTTCTGGCAGAGGCGCTTTGAGGAGAATCGACCCCCTGGACAGGCGGGAGCTCAAGAACTACTTCCATGATCCGGCGGCTGACAACTCTAACGCCGCCTGGGCGCAGTGGAGGAAGAGTCAGGGCCCCGCACCGCCGGGAGAGGGCAAACGCATCAAGTTGGATCCGGCAATCCTCGCTTTGGATCTTACGGAGATTCCAACTTCGGACGACGCCAGCCTTTCGTGGAACAGGCGAGTCCTGGTCGACCTGCTCCCGGACCAGGTGATGCACGAGTTCTGCGGCCTTCTGTATGGGCGTCCGAGTCCGGCGTTGTGGATTGGCCCTTACATGCCCAAGTCCTTCTCCACTCAGGATCTGGAACACACGGACAAGTCCGAGCGCCACAACTTCAAGGTGACTGCCGTGACCCCTCACACGAGGGAGGGATACAAGCCTTGTGGGAATGTCAAAGGCCCTACACCGATCGGGTGGCTGTTTCTCAACGACAACCCGAAGAACAAGGGCGGCGTGTGGATCCCACAGGGGACGGTGTGTCCTCCCGGTCACAGTACCGAGGATGTTTGCGGTGAATTCAAGGCCGAGCAAGTGTGCCCAACCGAGCCTCCGCCAAGTGGAGGTGCGTACCTTGTGCTTTGGTTGTATCCAAAGGCCTTTGCACCGGACACAGTTCCGAAGACCCTTGCAGACCGCGATGAGCTGAGCGCATATATGGCGTCATTGCAGGGGGTTAATGACTTTGGGGAGTTCAAGCAGGTAAGGTTCGATGCTGAGGATTCCGACGATGAGTTTGAGCTAATCCCTGCACATGATGGTCCCAGAGCAATTACCCGTGACACTGCACACTCACTGCCCAAACTCAGCAACAGAGGAAGAGGGTGCTTAGTGGGATTCAGGAAATGGTTGCGGGAGATCGTGTGTTGCAAGCGATTGCATTCAATGCAGCAGTGGCTACGGATCACATGATTGCCTTCACCCCCACTGAGCCTCCTATTTCACACTGCAAATGGGTATCCGAATCCCTTGCAGGTGATCAGCGAGACCATTGCCAACCTGGAGACAGGTGTGCCCGGTCTCATAGTTCTGAGGGTCGACGCTCCCACCGAGGAGTTGTGTTTAGAGTGTGAGTGCCTAGCTGACACAGCTGGAGTGAGCATTGTCTTGGTGAGCCCCTATGGATGCCCAACACTCGAAAGTACTGTCGAGGTAAGAGGAGACTTGAATGTTTCCGGGATAGGGCCAAACATCGACGATGCACTCCAGGTTTTGTCCACATGGACCGAGAGCTATGGCATGAGCCCCCGTTGCTATGCGGACACGGAAGAACATGATTTCTGGGCCACATGTCGTGACATTTCACAGGAGCTTTACCTGAACTCTTACACACGCAATTGCTTTGTAGGATCGGAAGGTCTAGGTTCCGACATGGAAGATCAGGAACTCATCCCCGATGAAGAGATGGCTGAACTACTTAGGGAGCAAGACAATGGAGCCTCAGTGTTCACCCCTGAAGAGAGAGAGCAACTCATCCTCGAGCAGTTGTCTTTCCCAGGTACTCCGGCATCGGAGGAAGAACGCAGAGCAGCATGGCGTTCGCTCCCACAGCGCACGAGGGTTGCTATCAGGCGACTCCATAGGGCATTCGGTCATCTCCCAGGTAAAGTCCTGGAGCAGGTCCTTAGGCAGAGCAAGGCATCCAAGGAGTTCATCCTAGCTGCCCGCCTTCACAGATGTAAGGCCTGCCTAGACACTGCACCAGTTCCGCGACATCATCCAGTCTCAGGGGAATCGGTGTTTCCGAAAGAGTTCAATCACACACTTGGCATAGATTGCATGGAAGTAAAGGATGTCGATGGTACCCGCTACACTGCAGTCAACATGGTCGACATGGGAACCAGCTTTCAACAAGTAGCCCTGATAAAGTCAGGAGGTGGCAATCCCAGCGCGCGGCAGTGTTTGCAGGTTTTCATGGAGCGATGGGTATCGTGGGCAGGACATCCACAGCATGTAGTGGTTGATAGGGGAACGCATTTCAAGGGAGAGTTTGCAAGTTACATGGGACAACATGGGATTCATCTCCGAAATGCACCCTTAGAATCTCCGCAGACCATAGGGAAGGTCGAAAGACATGGTGGTTTGCTCAAGGCACTGGTAAGAAAAACAGTGCAGGAGATTCAGCCCTCGACTTGGGAGGATATGGTCATGGTGGTCAGTGAATGTGTGACTACAAAGAATGACCTGTCCAGACATCAAGGTTTCAGCCCATCACAGCATGTGCTAGGCAAGCGACCTAGGACACCAGGTTCAGTCATGGATGAGGATGAGAGCATGGGACCTTTGTTGGCCCGTTTCGATGAGACCACTCCTTTCTATTCCCGACATAGAGCCCGGGAAGAAGCCCGCAAAGCCTTCGTGCACTTGGACTCGTCCAGGAAGGTTGCTCGTGCATTGCAAAGGAATGCAGCTCCCATGGACATGGAGTACCAGGTGGGCGATTTAGTCATTTACCGAAGGGACAATTTGCCCGGTTCAACTTCCACTGTGTGGTCAACTGCAAGCCGCGTGATAGGGCGCGAGGCAGAGAATGCATATTGGTTGCTGCATGAGGGTGTGCCTGTGTTGGTCAATGCCAGAAAGATGAGGCCTGCGGATGAGGTCGAAGTAGCTGCATGTCGAGTTCTGACTGGAGAACCCGTTCTGCCAGGTTCCATTGTCCACGGTCCAGAGCAACGTTATCTCGACGAAAGAGATAAGGATCCAGTAACAGCGCCTTCTACCCCCAGACCGAACACTGGCTTAGCGTCGGCTCCCTCTACTCCCATGAGAGTCGCAGCGGCCGAGAGTCCCGCCATCACAAGCAAGGAGATTTCGCCCAGTGATAAGACGGGCAGGGAAAGAACTCGTTCCCCGCTCAGACAAAGCTCCAGCGCGCTGATGGCTGAGGCGCAGGACACCGATCCTGTAGAAGCAAAGGCAAGCGAGCTCCTGGAAGCAATGGCCTTCGAGACGAGCCACTGTCTCGAGCTACTCAGGTTGTGCAAGGAACACAAACCGAAGAGGACGAAGAGAGCGATGTTCCAAGATGCAACTGATGATGAGCTTGCCGCTAGTTTCGGTGTTTATAGGCACGGTGGTTTTGTTGGGATTTCTAATCCTACTAAGCAGCGCCCGTGTTTTGTGACCTACTTGAACCGCTTCCTGAGGCACCACTGTGAGAAGGCAGGCTACACCGAGTTCACTTGGAATGGGATCCAAGTAAGCGAATCGCGGGCAAGTTTGCACAAAGACAACTCCAATTTGAAGGGGTCGCTCAATTTCACCATGAGTTTGGGAAATTATTCGAAAGGAGGTCACCTGTGGATAGAAAACCCTGAGGGGAACACAGTGATTGACGTTTGTGGCAACCTTGTTCCCGGGACTCTACACACCACTCGAGGCAAGGTCCTTCGTTTTGACCCAAAGAAACTCCATATGGTGGAACCCCATGAAGGGCAGAGATTCAGCATCATTGGATTCACTATGAATCACTTGGGAAAGTTGCGCGCAGATGAACACCAGATGATGGAAGACTTGGAATTCCCACAACCGCGTATTCCATCACCCCAAGTAGAGCAGCCCCGTCAGGAGGAGCCTGAGCGAGCAGACGACATGCACTCCTCAGACGACGAGGAAGTTGGAACAGGTTTCCTAGCCTCACTTTTGGACTACCACAACAGCCCGGCCGAGGTGCAATTGGGGTTGGACGAGGCCATGCTCGCGGAGTGGGCCAAGTATCAGGAATTTCACGCTGTGATACCTTGCTCAAAGAAGCAAGTGCAGGAGTTGCTTAGCCAAGGACACATCTGCGTGCCCACCAAGTGGGTTCTCACCGACAAACATGAACATTTGAAAGGCACCCCCGGCTATCGTCCCAAATACAAAGCTAGGCTAGTCGCATGCGGGAATTTCGAGCACATCTCCACAGGGGAGGACATTCGTGCAGATTCCCCGACAGCCGAGCCTGAAGCACTGGCTTTCATTTGTTCCTGGGCATCCTCACTCGGTTTGCGAATCAAGGCAGCCGACATCACGAACGCCTACTTTCAGGGTAAGCCGCTCGAGAGATTGCTGATCCTCAAGGCTCCTAGCAACCCCAAGGGCGTTCCGGACAAGGAGATCCAGGAATCCGGCTACATGATTGCCCGTGTCCCAGTGTATGGAACGACCGACGCCGGCCGAAACCTCTACCTTCGCATAGTCGAAGAGACAAAGTGCATCGGACTGAAATCTTCCCAGATCATGTCCGCGTTGTACTACGCGCACGACACAAGCGGCCGGCTGTGCGCTATGCTGTGCACTCACGTGGACGACTTCTTCTGGGCAGCGTTCGGTGAGGGCGAGCTGAAGATCCAGCAGTTGCTGGACCACTTCAAAATCGGGAGGATCGAAGAGGGTAGCTTCAGGTTCTGTGGCAGAGAATACGCCCAGCACCCCGATGGCACCATCGAGATCAACTCAAGGGACAACACGCGTGCCATCGCTCCCCTCGAGATCCCCAAGGGTGCAAAGTTGACGACACCTGTCACACAAGGACAGAGGACGGCGCTTCGGTCCGTCATAGGTTCACTCGCGTGGGTGGCCCGGGCTACAAGGCCCGACCTCGCGCACCGCGTCAACGCGTTGCAGCAGCGAGTGACCGTCGCGACCATCGACACGATGAGAGAGGCCAACCGTGTGGTCGCACTCGCCTTGGGCGACGCAGAGCGCAGCATCGTGTATCGCGCCAAGATACTGCCGTGGAGCAGTGGCCCCCTCGCAGTAGTCACGTTTTGTGACGCCTCTTTTGCTGCTGAAGCTGGGTACAAGTCCCAGAGGGGGAGGTTGCACTACCTCACTGACGCGGAAACAGCACGCGACGTGAACGCACCCAAGCACAAGCTTCACCTGGTTGCATTCGGTAGCTCTACGATGAAACGAGTCTGCCGTGCGACACTACAATGTGAAGCGTACAGCCTGCAGCATGCCACCGAGCACGGAGACAGGATCCGTGCGACACTCCTAGAGTTGCAAGGCAAACTGCCGTCACTGCATGACTGGAGCGAAGTAGCGCCGAGAAAGATGCTGCACCTGCAGTACTCCGACTGCAGATCGCTCACAGATCATTTGCTGTCGTCGGTACCCAGACCAGTGGAAGACAAGCGTCTTGCTATCGAAATGACAGCATTGCGCCAAGCACTGTGGGTAGACGAGACACCGACGAGCGAAGCCTTCGCACCATTCGGTGACATCCTGCGATGGATTCCAACCCACCTTCAGTTGGCTGACTGCTTGACCAAGAGTATGAAGCCCAAGCTTCTGAACGACGCCTTGGAGAGCAACGAGGCCGTTGTGAGAGAAGAAGCTCCAGCTGAGTGACGAATTTCACTTCTCTTGAGGCGCACTCATCCACTCGTTGATAAGACGGGTGTGAGATTTTCCTGTACACAAGCGCCGAGTTGGATTTCGTATAGTGCAGAAGCTGTTAGGCGAACACTTGTATAGGCATGAACAAACATGCAAGCGTCAAATAGCATTCATGAGACAAGTTCCTGCATGACAGGCGCCTTGGGCTCAATCGGAAAAAGCAAGCTACGTAGTCTAGTCACTGTGACTCCGGCCCCAGTACCCCGCTTCTGAAAACCCTAAACCCTAAACCCTAAACCCTAAACCCTAAGCCCTAAGCCCTAAACCCTAAACCCCCAAAAGTTAAACCCTAACCCCTAAACCCTAAACCCTAACCCCCCAAACCCTAAACCCTAAACCCCCTAAACCCTGAACGAGAACCCTTCCTGTAGAACAAAGCCTTGTTTAGGGCTTCGGGGTCGTGGTCATGGGCTTGTAGGCTCTCCTTTAGGTGATTGTCGGTTTCTCCCGAGAGGGTGTGGCCTTTGACTCGAGCCCTTATTCCGCTTTTTGGAGGGGGTTTAGGGTTCGGGGTTTAGGGCTAGGACCCTCGGAGGCCCTGCGACGGTTTAGATTCCCTTCTAAGCCCCTTTTAAACCAAACAGGGTACCCCTTTTGGTTCCTATCTTGTGTCTAGTGAAGGACACTGCGCGGGTTACAGAAGAGTGGGTGGCATTCTTTCAGTTGGTGCCGACTATGAGGCCGATGACAGTAGACGTCTGTCTTCTGCAAAGCATGTGTGGGCCAAGCTTCATCGACAGCTTCCGCGCTTCGGATTGCCAGGCTGCGTTGTTGGACGGCTCGTATAGGCGGGTGTGATGCGTGCATTACTGTTAGCCACAGAGTCACGAGCAGTTGCAGCAACTACAATCCGGAAGTGGCAGTGCTTTCTGAACTCCGTGGTGCGTGGCGCTACTCGACAGAGACTCTCCAAGATGCAACAGGATCAGGTGACGCAACGGGACCTCACACTGCGGCTGGGCCTTAAGCAGGTCTCCACGTACGTCGGCGAATCCCAGCTTCGCTACATTGGGGAGGTTTCCCCCGAAAATCAGTCAGAGGCGTGCGTGGAGCCTCCAAGTTTAGGGCTTTTTCCTCCTTACGGTAGCAGTCTTCAGTTAAGTTCGGGTCGGGGTTGGTGTTCGGGGCCGATTCTTGTGGGGGATAGGGTTTAGGGTTTAGGTTCTAGGATTTAGGGTTTAGGGTAGCATCAGGGATTCCCTACCAACGTCCCAGATCTGCGCTGAACCCCATAGAGCCTTGCACTCGTCAATGCTAGGCTGTGGTTCCATGTGCCTATCGCCAGGAAGGCCCCAAAAGCCCCAGGACCCGAACCCAAACGCACGTAAACCCTCAACCCGAAACCCTCAAACTCCCTAAGCCCTGGACCCCTAAGCCCTAGACCTTTTAGACCCCTAACCCCCAAACCCCAAAAACCCCAACCTAAACCCCTAAACCCTTAAATCCCTGAACCCTAAAACCTCAAACTCCCTAAGCCCTAAAGCCCTAAACCCTAAGCCTTACGTAAGCCCTAGAAACCCTTAAACCCTAAACCTTTTTATTAAACCCCCAAAGCCCTGAACACTTCACATAGGGGTCGGAAGAATTGCCAGTATTGTTCCCTCTTGGTCCCTGTATACTTAGACTATAATAGCCCCCCAAAACCCTATTCTAATTATTAAGCCCTAAACCCTAAACCCTAAACCCTAAACCCTAAACCCTAAACCCTAAACCCTAAACCCTAAACCCTAAACCCTAAACCCTAAACCCTAAGCCCTAAGCCCTAAACCTGCAACCCTAAACCCTAAACCCTATATTCGAACCCACCCCGCTGCAGCCCTTTAGCAGGTCAGGCTTCGCGGCTTCCTTCCACAGCCGCCCCAGAGCCGCAGAATTGAAGTAGGGATTTTGGGGTTTAGGGTGGGGTTTTTAGGGTTGTTGGGGGGAAGCATACTCGTACTCAAATATTAGGGTTTAGGGTTTTTAAGTTTAGGGCTACGAAGTTCAATAATTATGGTCCAGGGTCTAGGGGCAGGATATAAAACAATTAGGGTTTACGGTTTGGAGTTCAGAGACGTTTACGCATAGGATGTTAGACTATCAGGGTCGTAGATTTTTCAGTTAGGGATGCTATGGGTAGCCCCAAACCCCCAACCCCCTGCCCCCTCCATGCCGCTCTTCCTGAAGAATGGGAAGTTGAGGCTGGGGCTCATTCTGTAGTAGGGTTTACGGTGCAGGGTTTTAGGGTTTGGAAATTTTTCCAGCATCCCGACAAGGATGCCCGTGCATAGGGTACACCCACCTGTAGGGAGCCATATATCAAAGAAACAACCCCAGCACAAGCCATTCAGAACAACACCTGAGGAACAAAGAAGCAACGCAGAACGCATCAACCCAAACCCCAAACCCAGAAAAAATCACACAGAACTTATCAACCTTAAACCCCAACCCCCCCCCCCCCCAAAGAGAAAGAGAAAAGAAGACCTTTTCAACCCCGAACCCCGAATAAAAGAGCAGAATTTCTCAACCCGAAGCCGACAAAGAGAAAAACCAGAAGATATCAACCCTATGGCCCAAAGAAGAAGAAAAGAACTTACCAACACGACTCTTTCAGAGTTTTCTAGTCCCCCACACGTTCCCGAAGCCCTAAGCCCAAGCCCTGAACCCTAAACCAAAAAATCCTAAACCCTAAGCCTTAAACCCTAAACCACTTCTATCAACCCTCTTCCTGAGGCTTCGTGCGCATCTCGGAGGACGGGCTGCGCGCTGCCTACATCGGCACGAAGCAGGCGGGCCTCAGCCGATTAGGGTTTAGGGTTTAGGGTTTAGGGTTAATCCTGAGCCCTGCACCCAGCTGTTTGGGGGTTTAGGCTTTTGGAGTACTATGCTTTAATACATTTCTTTGGTTCTGGGTTCCGATTGTAGCTAGTTCTACCTAAAAAGTACATACTTTTTTTCCAGGGTCTACTCCAATCCAAAGTAGGGTAAACCCTCAGTCCTAAACCCAGCTGTTTGGGGTTTTAGGGTTTGGTGTTTTAGGGTTGTAGGGTTTAGAGGTTTCGGGTTTAGGGGAAGGGGGGGGCCCTCAGGGTGCCCTGGGCATCAGGAGGAGTGGAGGAGGACTTGAGGGTTTGGTGCCCTGGTGAAAGGAAGAGAGCTACACCCTAAGCCCCAAACCCTAAACCCCAAACCCTCAAGCCTAAACCCTGTAACCCAAACCCTAAACCCTAAACCCCAAACCCTAAACCCCTCTAAACCCTGATGAAAGGAAGAGAGCTACGAGCTGCACGGGGGCGTCATGGGCAACGCCCCGCTGGCGGCTGCGGCTCGAGGTGTGGGCAGATTGGGAGCTGCAAACGCCCTCTTTTTTTAAAGAGGGGTTCAGGGTTCAGGGTTCAGGGTTTAGGGTTTGAAAGGTTTAGGGGAACGTTTAGGGTTGTTAGGGGTTAGGGTTTGCGGCTTAGGCGTTTCGGGGCTTAGGGGTTCAGGGTTTTTGAGTGTAGGGTTGAGTGGGGGTTCTTCTTTTTGGGTTGGGGGTGGGTTTGGTGGGTTTGATGGGCGCAGGGTTTCCCATCGGGCTCGTTCTTCCCTTTTTGGAGGGTCCTCGGCACCTGAGAATAAAACTACCCAATGCTAATAAGGGGATGGGGGGTTGTGCTAAAACATGTTCAGGATCCAAAAGCAACTTGTTCACGACCGAACGCACTCTCCCAGGATCCAATTTTTTCCACACTTCCCTAAGGTAGACCGGAAGGAAGGAAGGCAGGAAGGAAGGAAGGAAGGAAGGAAGGAAGAACGGAAGGAATGAAACGGAGGAGGGACGAAGGGAAGGAAGAAGGAAGAATTGATGGACGAAAGGGCGGGCCCCGCTTTTCAGAGCGTCATGCTGTCGAAGCGATGCCCCCACCCTCCCCCGCCCCCCCGCCTCTAACCCTAAAACCCTAAAACCCTAAACCCCTCAAACCTGCGGGTTTAGGGGATTTGGGTTCACTGGCGCTGTCAAAGTGTGGCATGGGCCGCCAGGGGCACAAAGCAAAGTATGTGCCTGCTATCTAAGGGTAATTCCACCCTTACACGTTCTGAAATATGGGCGCTTGCGCTTGGGGCTGTTAGGGGTGTAAAAGGGCTCCCCAATTAAATGCTTCGCTTGTGTTTGGGAACCCTCAGGCTTGCACCTAAACCTGCCACGGGTTTAGGGTTTAGGGGTTCAGGGTTCAGGGTTTGGGTTTAAGGGTTAAGGGTTAAGGGTTAAGGGTTTAGGGTTTAGGGTTTAGGGTTTAGGGTTTAGGGTTTAGGGTTTAGGGTTTAGGGTTTAGGGTTTAGGGTCAAGCCCCTCTGAGTTTCGCCCTCTAGGCTTGGGGAATGGTCGGGATCGACCGCCTAAGTCTGAAGGTTTTCGGCTTACAGTCAAGGCTCAAGGTCCCTGCAGGTAGGGACCTCGCCCTTTTCTATTTCTTTTTGAAGCATCTAGGTTCCTCAAACCTCTGTAGAGAAGATATTCCTCCCAGATCAACATCCCATGGAGCCCTATGAAATAAAGTTTCAACAGCGTGGCCAGGCAAGTACTTCGAGGTGGAGATCTTGCGTACAGGGGAAGGCCGGCTGGCTTTCAGGGCAGACATGCGAGATAAACCCTGGACCCGAAGCTACCCTAAGCCCTACGCACTAAAACCCGAATAAGGTAGACCCGCGGCATCTGCTAGCCAGACTACTCCACTTCCCTACACCATCTATGTTGTCCGGCATACAAGGATGGAGTAGAAGTCCAACACAAACCACAACATGGCCCAGCCCCACCACATTGGTTAAGCCTTGCCCATTTTTCATGCTTCCAGTGTATCTTCAATACAGCTCCATTCTCCCCACTCGCTCCGCCACACGCAACAATGCATCAGGCCTACAACAGTCAATTTTCATATGGTTTTGTTCTAAACATGCACGCCTGGGGCGGCTCCTATGCACGACTTTGCACT